ACGTAACAGATCAACTACAGATCAGATCTTTTGCATTCGTCAGATATTGGAGAAAAATGGGAGTACAATGAGACAGTACATCAGCTATTCATAGACTTCAAGAAAGCCTATGATTCAGTTAGGAGGGAAGTATGGTACAGCATTCTGATAGAGTTTGGGATACCCATGAAACTACTCGTAGTTAGGCTGATTAAAATGTGTTTAAACGAAACATATAGTAAAGTCCGTGTAGGTAAACATAAATATCCTATCCAAAATGGTCTAAGGCAAGGAGATGCTTTATCGCCAGTCCTTTTCAACTTTGCTTTAGAATATGCCATTAGGAAGGTCCAGGAAAACCAGGTGGGACTGAAATTCACGGGACATATCAGCTGTTGGTCTATGCCGATGATGTGAATCTACTGGGTGATAATATAGATATCATAAAGAAAAACACACAAACTTTAATTGACGCAGGTAATGAGGTTGGTCTAGAAGTAAACACAGAGAAAACTAAGTATATGTTACTGTCTCATCACCAAAATGCAGGGCAAAATCATGANAAGTCTTCTGGGATTTGGCACCGTGTATATGTGGTGTTAACCGACGTTTCTGAGGAACGTATCGCCTCCATCTTCAGGGTAGAAGAAAAAATATAAGAAGTCCGAAGGCGAAGAGACCGTGAGAACCGGTAAAAGCAGTCTGCAGTCTCTTCGCATGCGGATTTCTTATATTTTTCCTTCTCCCCTGAAGATGGAGGCGATACGTTCTTCCGAAACGTCGGTTAACACCACATATACACGGTGCCAAATCCCAGAAGACTGCTTTCTTCATAAGTATATGTTGCTGTCTCGTCACCAAAATGCAGACCAAAATCATGACTTAACCACAGGAAGCCGATGTTTTGAAAAAGTGTCACAGTTCAGATATTTGGGAACGACGATAACAAATAAAAACCTGATTGAGGAGAAAATTAAGAGGAGATTGAACTCGGGTAATGCTTGCTACTATTCAGTCCAGAACCTCTTGTCTTCTCGTCTGCTGTCCAAAAACACAAAAATTAGAATATACAAAATTATAATTTTGCCGGTGGTTCTGTATGGGTGTGAAATTTGATGTCTGACATTAAAGGAAAAAAATAGACTGAGGGTGTTTGAGAACAAGGTGTTGAGGACAATATTTGGACCGAAGAGAGGTGAAGTGACAGGAGGTTAGAGAAAACTACATAATGAGGAGCTTCATAACGTGTACCCTTCTCCAAGTATAATTA